AACGAGACAAATTCTCTTGTGTTTGTTGGTGTTGCTATTGACTTTGGCTATATATCGTTAATAAATTCTTATTGGATTGGATTCCACCCTTTGTTGCTAGTTCTAGTCTAATTCCTTGTCTCTATGATAATCTTTCCCCAGTTCCTTCAGAGGATTATCATAACATAGTTGTGAACTCCTTCCCCATCCTGATTATGCTCCTGAAGGATATGCTTGGACTGGTCAATGTCCTTTCTAAAACATGGCCCCCAGAACTAAATGTAATGTTTCACGTGACCTGATCAGGATACGATATAGTAGGACTAATATAACTACTTCCCTTGATCAGGACATTATGTTCATATTAAAATGACATATTTTACATTTACTTGTTGGCTGCCATATCAACTGTAGGCCCAGTTAACTTGTAACCAAATAACATTTTTTTTTTACCTGAACTGTTCTTGGTCTACATCCCTCCCATCGCAGTTGATTTTTAAAAACCCAATTTGGTCATTAACATTCATTCCTATTAAGGTTTATCTTGTCTAATTTAATATCCCATCCTAACCTTGATGAATCTGATTTGTATTTTTAAATCTTGACTCTGACATTCCTTCATTTATGTGTCTTCTAAAAATCTTATAAACATGCAATATACACCTTCCTCCAAGAATAAAAAAGTTGGTGAGATCAGGGCCAAGAACAGAATGCTTCAGCATTCTCCCAGAGACTTCACTTCAGATTTATATGAATCTACTAATTATCAGTCTTTGGATCTGATTATTCCATTAGTTCTGAATCCACTAAGCTATACTATCATTGAGTACATCCTTTGTCATCTTAGTGTTAAATGTCTTCTTTAAATCCAAGTATGCTCTGTTTATAGCATTTTCTTTTGATCTGCTGGTCTAGTAACAATGTTCAAAAAGAAATGAAGTTAGTATGGCATGACTTATTCTTAATGAATTCCTGCTAGTTCCAAGTGATTACTACTTCCCTATGTGCTCATAAACCATTCGTTTAATAATGTTTCCAATACTTTTGCCAGGATTTGAAGCTTCCCAGATTTTATACAACAACATTATGAAATTAGGACAGGGTATAACTTCATAGAACTTACAATTTAGTAAGGAGGATAAAACACAAATAATTATGGAGCAACACAGTAAATAGCTGAGAGGGGCCATAGAGCCACTTAATCCTACACAAACATGACTGAAATCCTTAGGATAACATATCTGACAATTGGTCACGTAGTATACAATAACTGTACTCACATATACACTTTCAGACACACACATACACGGACATTATATATATATATGTATATATATGTGTGTGTGTGTGTGTGTACTATATATATATATACACATAAGAATATAAAGAGAACAAGGTTTTAGGAAAAGCTTGAAAAATAAAATGGGCAGTAAGCATAAATCAGTCTACAATTAAAATAAGCCTACTTATTTAAAAAAATCATTGACAAAGCAGATCCATTCATCTAGATATATTTGTATCAGTATATATTGGTGAATTTTCCATTTGACTACAGGGATTGGTTCTGATCATGAAACCAGGCAAAATAGACACATTGACGATGGCACAATATAATTTCCCTCTGGATAGAGACACCACCAGAATGTGACAAATTCTCATATGTTTGTTGATGTTGCTATTGACTTTGGCCATATATCTTTAAGCCTGACGTTTAAGGTCTGTTGCAATCTGGTGCCATGATTCTTTTCCAGCATTTTCACATAACTCTTTACTCAGGAGGGGGAAAAAATGTAACTCATCATTTTCCATGCATGAGGGATTCATTGCCTGTCTTTATTGCCTCTAGGCCTTTCTCCACATTGTGTCCTTTGCCTAAAATGCTTTTCCCTCAAATTCTGATTATTGAAATTCTACTAATACTTTTAGGGGAATAAAGACAGGACCTAGCATTTATTGGTACAGGGAACTCCTGAGTAAGGAAACTCCCTCTACTAATGCAGCTTATATAGTAAGTTATATCTATAACTTATTAGAAGAGAGTTTTAGAACCCAGAGATTAAATGACTAGCCCAGAGTCATACAGCCAGTAAGTTTCAGAGGCAGGACTTGAACTCACATCTTCCTGAGTTCAAGGTCACCTTTTTAACCACTTTACCATACTGTCTTTCCTTCTGGAACTTTATTAAATATCACTTCTTCTATAACCTCCTCCTAATTCCTCCTAAGTAGAAAATAATATCTCAGAAAAACTTCAACTGGCGGTGAGCCAGAGGTCGATGGAAAGATACATGGTGGGCATAAGCAGGATGTAATGCTTTACCAAGTATGATATGTGTGACAAGTGGTGTTAAAGACATAATTAAAGAATGTTGAACCAGAAAATGAGATGGGCTGGTAATTTGAAAAGATGTAAGGATAACACAGGAGCAGTCTGATTTACATTTATATCCATAAAATGTGCTAAATTAACCAGAGAAAGGTTTCTTGAATGTTTGGCTTATGGAGGAATACCAAAAGATTTGGACCATATCACAAGATGAGAAAAAATGGAAGTGGCATGAGTGGGGAAGAAGAACTCCTATGAATAAGATCGTGGTCCTTTGAAGGATGGAAGCAAGATGAAGAGCTTACCTAATGATTAACACCCACTTGAACCCCTTTATAACGCCTCTTCTAGAGAACAACACTAATATGTGCCTTACAGGATAACTACATCATAGCTTATTTTGTCAGAGAATTCTTTTGTTATGGTTTAGGGCACATTATTTAATCTGCAGTATATCAGAATCCACAAAATTAATGGCATCACACATAGTGCTAGAGACAAAATATGATTATAAAAAATAACATGGCTGTTTTTTTTAAAATAAATTTACCATTCATAACTTATTCACTTAAATGAGAGGTGTCTGCTTCACATAGGAGCCCTTGGGAGACCATACATAGATATCAACGATGCTACCATTAATTACTCAGTCATCATCGGACAATGATTTCTTTGATTGTTGGTTTTAGAACTTACAGCATGTTATTTTGAACATCCTTGTGGTGAGAAATCTTCATCATTTCAGGATAGATTTAAGTTTTAGAAATCATGAAAAGTGACTCAGAACAAAATCCAGTGAATGAGGCTGGTGATCAAATTGGGCAATAGCAACATTATCCAATATTGAGGTGTAAGATTCAGACCTGAAGTGTAAAAAGGTTCATCAATTGGATCAGCAAGCAGATTCCATAGAAGAAATTGGAAAATATTTTTGGGGCTAGGCAATGGGGTTAAGTGACTTGCCCAGGGTCACATAGTTAGTAAGTGTCAAGTGTTTGGTCTGAGGCCAGATGTGAACTCAAGTTCTCCTGAATCCAGGATCGGTGCTCTATCCACTGCACCACCTAGCTGTTCCCTGGAAAATATTATGAATGATTGACAGTCCCATTGGCAAAAGTACACAAAGGAATTTCTTTGAAGGATGATTCTCACTCTCAGTTCAGAAGGGAGAATGGGGCTATGCAAAGTGAACAAGCAGAAGAGAGCAAAGGAGACACTGTATACATACGATGAAGGGCAGATTCCCCTGGGGAAGTCTCCAGAGCACTAGGGCTGTAACAGTCTGCTAAAAGGGGAAGGGTGGGTAATTATAGTGGCCTTGCTACTATGGTATTCGTGGGGGCTAGCTATCACGAAGGAAGCTAGTGTATCTTGCACAAAAATGATTGATAGAACTGACCTATATATAGCAGCAAAAGAGCATATAGAAAGAGCAATGAGAGTACAAAGGAGAGACTAGTTAAGACCGGCATGGCTGCAGCTGGCATTTTGGGGTCTTGGGTCTTTCTGATCTCAAGCCAGTATTGTGGTGAAAGGTATTGGGGATGGAGGGGTAGAGAGAGTTCATGGCTGTCTGTGTTAGTCTAGATTCATGGCTCATAATACTCCAGAATCCATATATACCATATACCAGCACTGGAGGAATAAGTCTCCTTCTATCAACATGAGAACTGAGGTCAACTTTACCCTAGAGCTGTCCATCCAAAGTATATCAGGGGAGCTTAGTCCCAATTCCCTCTCTCCTGAAAAAAGGCAACATCCTCCACACATTCTGTGAACTGTACATTCCAGTTCATTTGTTAATGAAAAAAATCAGTTTGGTTGTTTCATAATTTTACCTGATATAGAAATGTGTGCTTTGATCTTTCTGATTGGTTCCTTCATACATCTTTGTCTTTCAGAAAATAAAAGAGCTCAGGACACTCTAAAGAATGTTTACACAAAACTCAGTATGAGGGGCAGCTAGTTGGTGCAGCGGATAGAACACCAGCCCTGAAGTCAGGAGGACCCGAGTTCAAATTCAGCCTCCACCTGACACTTACTAGCTGTGTGACCCTGGGCAAGTCACTTAACCCCAATTGCCTAAGAAACAAAAACAAAAACAAAACAAAACAAAAACCTCAACATGATTAAGTAGATATCTGGGGTTTACAGGCTATATTTATTTTTCAAAGGACCTTAAATCTACATCACTGGACTCTCACTGATTGACCAACAGCAGATCTCGGCCCAAGCCTACCTTGGTCATTGTCTAGAGTCTGGGGTCAGAGTGAATGTAAATAGCAATTGTTTTCCTTTTGGCCAGAAACCCTGAGGGTCTTTCCCTTCCAGATTGATTTTATTTAATAGTTAAGAGATGCCATTTTTTTGCCTCATTTCTTACTTAGCCTTAATCATTGATTGGATGTTGCCTCAGACAAACTGAGACCTGGGAAAGACCTTGGCTCAAAAAGGACAAAGTTTCCCACTGCATCTGGGGCCATTTCTAGTCAACCTGATCTATTATGTCTTGCCACTGGACCCAGATAACTCTGGAGGAGAGAGTGAGGCTGGTGACTTTGCACAGCCCTGCCTCACTTAAATTCAATTCACTTACAAGTCATGACATTGCCTTCCAGATGTCATGATCCTCTTTAAGAACAAAAGATAAACAACAATAACAAACAAGGTGGAGGAGGCACCCTCTGGGGCTCACCTTGCCAGTGATGCTTGTAATCACACATGCGCGATAGGGCGATCATCATGGCACAGTACAAAGGCAGGATCGCTGCACAGAGTCGCCAGCTTTTGCCACGCCCATTCTCTGTGAAACAGTGCAACTTCCCAGCTAAGTAGAAGGTTGTAAAGCCCAGGCCTGAAAATGCAACTGACAAAGAAAAACAAAACATGTTACCCAAAGAAGCAAGATACCTTGATTGAGATTCAAAAGACTGAGTTTCAAGTCCCAGTAGCACAGTTCCAACACTTACTTACAATAACTCCCTGGAAATTGTGGAATGTCTTGGAACTTCAGTTTCTATAACTGTCAGATGCTAGTAAGACTTTTTCTATCTACCTCACTGGGTTATTGCAAGGAAAGCATTTTTTGTCAACTATAAACCACTACTTAAAGTTGAGCTAATATTAAGCATCAGAAAACATCAAACTAATTGATATACAGTTAAAAACTCTAGCTATTCAAGAGGTTTCAGATGTAAAAATAAACTGGGCATTTGCTTGATTAGTTACTGTAATTAATCATCATAACACAGTAGAGTGACTTTCCTTAATGTAGCTCAAAAAGCAAGTGAAGCACACATGCTAATTTCATAACATCCCTATGCTGTACATAGGCAACATTCTCATTTTCCAGAGGAGTAAACTGAGGCAATGGTATGAAATGATTTGGAAACACAGAGAGACAAAACTAGGAGTGGTTGTGTCTGTCAAGATGTTGCAAGGACAACTGGACAATTTGGTGACATACATTTAGTGAATAAATTAAATTTAACAAATAAATTAATAAATCAAGACCAGTAGTTTATTTTAATTTTTCAGTCATTTCATTCAATATGAAATCAATCCTGTGTTGGTACAAAATTGTTTTTCCACTTAGACCATGCTACATCAAGAAATCAATGTAAATGCTCAATACTGTCATTGTCCAGTGTCAGTAGATGGTAAATTTCATGTCTACTAATGGTTAGGAAGAATTGAAAGGGAACTTAGTGAAGAGACATAAAAGATAATATTATGATTTGGAATTATGCTGTCAAGGACAATTGTCAAGAGGTCAAGGTGTTGGCATGACTGATCTCGAAGTCAATTTCATAATATGCCCATCCATTCCACAATTGTTCTACGCAATTTTAAAGCCTGTCCATACAACCTGATTTTGTAGATAATGTTAGAAGCCCTCTCACTTGATTGGCCCCTTTTTGAGAATTAATGTATCCAATGATCCAATTTATTCACATCCCCATAAACAGTGGACAGAACATGGACTGGGAATGCGGAACAGTGATTTCTAGCTCCGGCTCTGCTACTGAGTAAGTGGATTTAAAAGAATGTAATGAGAAGTTTAGAGTAGATGATCTGAAAGCCTCCTTCTAGCTCAAATGTCTATGAATCCATTATTCTAAAAGAGCACTTAAATGATCTTTTCCCACTAGAATTTTCCTACTCTATTTAGCAAATATTTACCACTAAAATGGAGAAAAAATAAAATAATATAGGTAAATGATTCCAGTCTTCCAAACTGACAAGATGAGTCTGAAGACAGCATCCACTATGCCCCAAAATAAGCCTTTAATTTTTGTCCCCCACTGGATCCTCTAATGGCTAAGGCAGAGCAAATAACCGCTGTCAACATTTTTAATGCAAACTTCCTTATGTTTCCTACAAATAGGGTTGTTAACTCTTCTTCAATCACCCTAATGATCTCTTACAAGTAGGTGCCATGTCGATGGCAATGAAAATATATTTCCAAAGGAGAAATCATGCAAAATGTAAGTCTACATACATCTGTCCTAAAAGGTAGGGAGGAATGAAAATGCAAACCATATACAATTGTTATCACCATCAAACATTTATCAATAGTCTACTCTATACAAGGTTCTGTGTGGGACAGGAGAGGAATAGAAAATGCAGTTTCCTACATACAAGAGGGTTATAATTTAAGGAGATGGAGTTTATATTCACAAGCTGGCCCAGAGAAATGCCTCAAAACTGAGATACTTTCAAAAGACAAAAACATTTGAAGTTTATACAAAAACATTGCATAAAATGCTTTTTATTGCGAAATTTCTCTTCCATTTATTTCAAATAAAAACTTTTTAAATGGATTTTGATCATTTCTATTGTCTTCATCACTTTTGTTGTCATTCTTTTCCCTTTTTCCCATAATATGTCACCAACATCACATTCCTTACTTGCTTCCCTATTGTTCATAGTTTTAGTATAGTTAATAGCTTCTCTCTTAAAATTCCTAGCATAACTGCATCTCTAACCTAGAATTATTGTTGTTTTCTGACATGTTCATCCATATCTTTGCAATCTAAAAAATACGTACAACTGCTGGACCTGCCTCATAAAACAGCGGAAAAAAAACCTTGGAGTAGAAATTCCAATTTTGGTTCAAGTACAATAACTACCTGAGTTATTGTGACTTGCTGGAACAAGTCATTTCACTTCTCTGGGACTCAGTTTCCTGTTTTGTAAAATAAGGGTATTATTTATAATAGCTACCTTAAAGGGTTGCCATGAGACTCAGATGAAGTAATGCATAAGAATCATTTTGTAAACTTGAAAACACTATATAATAAATGTCAGCTATTATTATTAAACCCGTACCTAAACAAAACTTCCTTCTCCAACAAGGAGTGAGGCTGGGGGGGGGGGGGAAGGAAGAGCTAGGAGCAAAGGAAGGTCAAAATACCAAAGAAAGAAGGTAGCTCAGGAAAAGTAAGTCATTATCATCACTGTAGCATGTGGGGAGTTTTCATGAGTGTCAAATCAGACTCATGGTTAATCTGGCACTAATGAAGCTAAGAAATTATATCTTGTCTAGTACTGCCTGTGTGAATTTTACCAGTGGAATCTGCTGCTAGTTGCCTGGCCCTATAGGCACTATAGGGCAGCTAGGTGGCGTAGTGAATAGAGTGGCTGGCTTAGATTCAGGAACACTCATCTTTCTGAGTCTGGCCTCAGACACTTACTAGCTGTGTGACGCTGGGCAAATCACTCAACCCAGTTTCCTCATCTGTCAAATTAGCTGGAGAAGGAAATGGCAAACCAAACCAGTATCTTTGCCAAGAAAACCCAAGTGGGGTCACAAAGAGTCAGACAGACTGAACAACAACAGGCAATATGGGGCATAGATAACAGTACTCACTCTGAATAAAGCCTTTGCTTTGCTGTTAGCTAATGAATATTCAAGGAGAGAGAGCTACTGGATAAATATATAACACACCTGTACTCACAGGGAAATGGCTAGGTAGAAGAGAAAATGTACTGACTTCTAAGTAGGTAAGGTTGTACTTTCAAACACTTTCACAAATATAGAACCATTGCATGTGCAATTTTAATTTCTAAATGCCTTTTTTTCATTTTTATGCAGGTAAATAGATCACCTTTTCCAGAGAGAAGTTTTAGGGTCTCATGCCCTATGACTACAAAAATCCTATTTCCCCTGAAATAAGAATCTCATAAATAATACAGAATGACCCAGAAGTTACACAGATGCCTTCAACCTACGACATAGTCATCAATCTCTAAATCTTCTTCAGTGTTTTCCATGCCTGAGATCAGCCTGATGCAGTAGAGAGAACGATGGATTTGGAGCCAAAGGACCTGAGTTTAAAATCTGACTCTGATACTTACCATTCACTTTTCCTCCCTGGGCCTCAGTTTCCTTAGGTGTAATTAATGGAGATAGGTTTACATGATCTCTAAGGTTTCTTTCATCTCTAAATCTTAGGATCATTTAGTTTGTGTGTATATGTGTATGTGTGTGTGTGTGTGTGTGTGTGTGTGTGTGTATGTCCATGATTTTAGACAATTTGCATGGGGCAGCTAGGTGACAAAGTGGATAGAGCACTGGCCCTGGATTCAGAAGGACCTGAGTTCAAATCCGACCTCAAGACACATAATACTTACTAGCTGTGTGACCCTGAACAATTCACTTAACCCCATTGCCTAGCCCAAAAGAAAAACAGACAATTTGCAGTACATATCAGCAGATGAGGTAGTCTCAAGGATTATGGAACATATGGTTAAACATGAAGAAAACCATCCAGGAACTCAAGAGCCAAATTACTCCAACATGAAGAGTTCTTATTAATTGTGCACTCTCTTCTTCTTCCACCAAAAACAATAGCTAGTGTCACCCTAGTATAATGGAGCAGCCTATAAACACTGATCTAGAGGGTCCCTAGGTGCCTGCTTTTATTTCTTGTTTGTGGGCAGCCTCCTTAGTGGATTTCACCAGCTAGACGTGCCCTCACCCTTCTCAGAGGTTTTGTAACCCTGAGTACCTTTCTTAGCTTCCTGAGAGTGGGGACTATGTCTCACTCTTTAATTTACACACACACACACATGCATATGCATGCGCACACACACATGTGTATACACACGCTTGCCACAAACATGCCTAGTCCCGTGGAAGGCATACATTGGTTTTTCAATGAGTATTTATTGTTTAGCTAATTCATTGCTGGTAAATCCAGTCATGGAGTTATACTAAACACACTTTGTATGTGTATGTTATAAAATCATTGATTGTCATTGTTGAGTCCACATAGTTGATGCTTCAAGGTTTTCAAAGAGTTTTATTCATAAATTCTCATTTGATCTTCACAATGACCCTATGAGGGTTATTATCCCCATTCTACAAGTGGAAAAACCAAGACTGAGAGAGATGAAGTGACTTGTTCATGGTAACAGTGTTAGTGTCTAGTTTAATAGTAAGTCTATTACTTACTAGTACTTGTGAGAGAAATCTAGGCTGCTAGGTGTCACAATCGATACAGCAGTGGACCTGGAGTCAGGAAGATCTGCGTTCAAATCTGGTCTCAGAGACTTACTGTGTGACCCTGGACAAGCAACTTAATTTCTGTCTGTCTCAATTTCTTCAAATGTAAAAGGAGAATAATAGCATCTGCCTCACAGAATTGTTATGAGGATAGAATGAGATAATTTTTGTAAAGTGCTTAGCACAGAGCCTGGCACATAGAGGGCAATTAATAAATTGTTCTCTCAAAGTACACTAAATTACAGTTTAATAGAAAAATATGGCATTGTGCAAATCAGTATGATACAAAATGATCCATAGGTTAATAAGAGAGTATTAACCATGTTCTGGATGAAATATGAGGGGTTAATATTATC